GTAAACAAAGATTTAAGTGAATTTCATGTTGCAAGTTTCTATTAATAGTGAATGGGGTTTCTATTAATAAATGGCTATCATTTCAGTCTAAAGAATGTTCAGAGTACCTTATTGAAGATTATCTGGGGGCTTTTAAAATTAAGGAAATTTGGAATGGTTATGTAAAATTAATATTACAATTTAGTGTTGCAATTATGAGATTTAAAATATAAAGAAAATATTAACAAATGCTTCAAAGATATGGAAACTATTAAGAATGTGTTCAAGAAATATTAATATATTATTAAAAAAATAATGAATTTGTTGATTATGTTAAATTTCTTCTTAAATTTCTTATTTCTTATGTATATCTTTATTTATATTTAGTTTGAGCTCAGTTATATTTAGAAGTGACTAAAGTTTTTCATAAAAATGTAATAAATATTCATTTATTTTATTGTTTCAAAGCATGTCACAAATTTATTATTAATATTAAAATCTCGACTTGATTTTACTCTTGTTTCCAATTTCCTTACACAAATAATCTTTGGGTGGTCAACTCCTTACAAAACAATTCTTTATGTGATCAGATTTCATGGTTTATTGTAATTATATTTTATATATTTCATTCAGCACGTATGATTCGCATCGAAAGGCGCACTTACAGCTCAAAAAACACGGAGGAAAACGCGACAATCGACGATCGAGGCGATTCGGAAGATTGACGATATGCCAGCGGGCAATTTACAAGATCGTTTGAAAAGAGTTTTGCAATTGGGCGCCGCGCGCTCGCTGCCGAATTCAATCGCAATCGAATAAATCAATTGAAGCGTCGCCGCTCGCTTTGGGCTCTTCGAATTTGTCAAACGGCCAATAAAGAAATACAAAAAAATTAAGTTATTCAAAAATTGAAATCGCCGCTGGCCGCAGCGTCGCCTCCGAGCGATGCCAATAAAATTTATAATAAATATGCCCCCTACGTCAGCGAGGCAAAGAGAGAAGGCAATTTATTTGTGCAACAACAAAAACAACAACGAGATCGTTTGTAAACAATTAAAATAATTTGCTGGACGACCGAAACCAACAACAGACAATTTCAATTAGAAAAAAAAAGAGAGAGAACGCTGCAAAAGAGCGGCAATAAATATTCAAAGAGCTGGCAAAGAGAGGCGGAAAAAGTTCACTCAATTCTATTTAATTTATTTATAAAAAGAGCAAATTCTTCAAGTGAATTCTTCGCATCGCCTGAGTTTAAATAGATATATATACATATACTTACTAAAAACTAGAGCAAATTTCAAGACAAGGAGAGCGCAGCTGGGGAAAATGTAGCACAGCAAACAGCTGATGCGAAAATGGGAGATAGAGCGGGAGATAGAGGGATGTGGTGGAGAGAGAAGAAAGACCAAAACACGCATACGCAATGTTGTACAGCAAAAACATTTCCATTTTCTACCCACACATCCATTGCATTTTTAACAGGAAAATGGGCTTGTTTTTGTTTTGTTATATTATTGGAACAACTCATTTTCGCTAAAATTAATATTAATCATGTTTGCTGTGGTAAAAGACTTGTCTTATGTGTTGTGATTTTCAGGGGAATTTTAAATTTGATTTGTTTATTTTAAATGTAATGAAATTATGTATGTTTAAAAATTTTATTGATTTAAAAATAAATTAAATGCTTTATATTATACATTTTAAAAACTAAAATTCTTAAGATTTCAATTATATTCCTAAAAAACGATACTTTACGATACAAAGAAATTAAAATAATACGATATTAATTTTATCCTGTGATCCACAAAAACCTCCTAAAAACCTACGAACATATAAGCTTTCCCTGTCTTAAAATTCTGAAACGTGCTGTATATTTTCACAAAATTCCCAAGAATCTTGTGTGCTGTCTGCCATTTTGATGGATTTCACTCTGACATTTCTCGTGCTCGCAATGTTCGATGCGCTTTTTTCTGTTGCGGCCCTCCTCTTCATTTTTAACATTTCGCGACGGGTCTTTTATTTTATGCGGTTTTCCGCTTATCGCGATCAGCCAAGCGAGCGAATTTGTGCCAAAAAAATTGTTTGCGATATGTGGGTGCACCACAGGGCCAAACAGAAGCCGCCAGGAGCCACCAATGCCACTACCGAAACCACCAGCGAAATGCGACTCGATGGCGCTGGCACGCACGTTTTACGAGCTTCGCCTTTTTGGCCACTTACATGAATAAAATAAAATTAAATACAAAGTTGTCGAGTTGAGATCGTTAAATTGATTAGTTTTTATGACAATGAATATGGCCAACAATTAAAATTTAGTTCAATTGCTTTTCATTTGTCAGTGGTCTGTCGTCGGCACATCACTCGCAACCTGTTGTTGTTTCATTTGCATTCGGATAGTGCAAGCTCTGAAACTATTTTCCCCCACATATTTTCCCCTCGACCGAATTTGTTAGCCTTCGCTCAATCGAAACATCTGGGCCTGGTTTGTGGCTTTGGCATGTGTGCTGTTCTGCTGCTCAGGTGCTGGCGAATAGTCAAATTAATGGCATTTGCCTGGGAGGAATGCAAACAGATGGCACAAATGGGCAATGCAAATGAGCCAATGGGCCAATGATAAGCGTAAGCAGGGTGAGAATTTGGCACAAAGAAAGTCAGGTGCCGAAGTTTCACCTAGTTATTTCAATTATATTTCTTTCTAAATAAGTTATAGGGATTAAGTAAATAAAACAAGGCTAGTCAACACATTTTTAAGCTCAGAACCCGGACGGGAAATAAACCAGAATGTGTAGATTTAGTTTTCTGTAATTCTAATATGTGTAAATATTAAACAAAAAAGTATCTTAAATTATTTCTTTAAGATTTTAGTTAAGTTTTTCAGCATTTTAAAAAAATTAACTTTCCTGTCACATAAAATCGTAAGAAACTCAAATTGATTTTGCATAAATTCCTTCCAAAAATAGCTTAAAATTTATGCACGTACAGGGTTCACACCGAGATGACGGATTATCTCACGGATAGCTCGACCAATAAAACAGCCACTTTATATATCCCAGCGAGTCGTGTGCCAAGCAGATACAATAACCCGATCCAATAACTTATGCGATCGAAACCGAAACACAAAGTGAGCTATGAAATAAAAGCAGTGAAATGCAATAAAATTAAATCTATGCAACAAAACACTGAGCGAGGTAAGTATGTCCAGTGTGTGTGTGTGTGCGAGTATCTGTGGGGGGGAGTGTGTGCGGAATATTAATTAAAGTTTCGAGCTTTGATTTCTTCAAAACGACTGGGAGGCAGGCGGACAAGTGTTTTGCGTTGTAAAAACAAGCGAAAGCAAAACACCAGACCCTCGACGAGAAGAATAATCCATACACTGAAGAAAAAAATTACTGTAGTAAAAATTTTAATAAGAGATAACTTGCAAAATAAAATTATTATTTGAGAAAAATAACATGTAACTCCATCCAAATATAAATATGTAGTAATACCTATTTATGTTCATTCGACTTAAATACATTTTTCTTAATATTCTAAAATATATAGACTTTTTTCACTGTGCAGATAAACATATAAGCGACTAAATCAAAAATTATACTAAAAGAAACAATGGTTTTATTTGTCTTCAAATAATCAAATTAACTAGCTAAAGTTGATTAACGAAATTAATTTTATTATTTGGAATTTCCAAATAAAACAATAATTTTTTCTCTCTGTGCATGAAACATAAGTGATGAAAACAGAAATTCAAATTCGAATTAAACGCATTCCATTCCAGGGAAGAGCGGGAATGCAAAGAGATCAGCAGCGAGATTAACATGGGCGCTGGAAGTGGGCAATGTGGAGGAGGGGGACTGGAAGATTGCATAAATGGCAACCATTTGCAACAGCATTTAGCACTGCGCAAGTGTGTGAGTTGGAGAGCTTGGTGTGAGGAGCCCTCTTTTGCATTTAAGACACGCATCTTGAATATTTCGCCTTGATGTTGATCGACAGTTTGACATTTTATGTCGTCGCCGCCTGTCAAAAGAACGGCGGTTACTTTTTTGTTTTCCTTGCTTTTTGGATTTTTTTTTTGCCTGCATTTTTTGCACAGTTTTCCCCCTATTTTTTTTTTTTTTTGCATCCAAAACTCACCCACTGTGACCGCTAGATGGCGCACTGTTTGTGTTGATTGCTTTCCTTTTGTCCAGAGCACCAAAACACACGCACACAAACACAAAAACACGCGCAGGCATAGAAACGCAACAGTAAACAAATACAGAATTCCAGAAGTCCGGGGCTAAGTTTTCCGATTTTTCCGGCGTATTTTCCGGCAGGCTATAGCCAACCGATCCGTGCCACGATCCGAATCCGATCCACGCCAAAACGAAAATTAAATAGCCGCCGTTGCCGTTCGTTGCTCGTTTGCTGCTTCGCTGCGCGCTGCCCAGCGAACACCGAACGGCTGAGCAAAGAGAGGAGGATCGGATCCAAAGCCAAAGCACACAGAGCAATAAAAATAAAAGCAGAGCACGCCGCAGCCAAAACAACAACAAATGGCGAAAGAGAAATAATCAAATAAAAGAGAGTGTGCGTGCGTGAAAGCATGTGGGAAGAGGGAAGGGGCAGGCTAACTTTCTCTTGAGGCGAAGCAGATTAGAGTTTAAATACCGTAAAGGATAGGAAAACCGTAAATCGTAAACGTATACTTAATATTTCTAGCCGTATTAAGTATACGTTAACGATTTACGTTGCTCCTATTAATTACGATATTTAATCTGAGATCTTCTAAAATTTGAATATTTTAAAGAATAACTAAAAAATAGGATTTAAACAATGAATATTGTAAATTTGTACCTAGTTTCCACTGTATTCTTTTCATGCTCCCAAGTTCCTAATATTTTAAAAGCCAACACGCTCCCCCAAAAAACACCTGAGCAAACTTTGATCTTAAGATTGGCTTCTTCTTACCTTTTCATGTGAACTTATAAGTTTATGATTTAGACACATTTGCTCAGTCTTCTGAGGAGCGAATATCCACAATGGTGTCTCCGAAATGTATTCTTCTATTCCTGGCCTTATATTACTTCCTGGATGGCGTTTCAGCGGTTACCTGCGATGTGGAACCCGCAAATACCTCCTGCATCGATTGCCGAATATATCCTACGCATATTGAGTGTTTGTCCAAGCTTTTCGCCCCAGTAACAACTGCTGCTCCTCTGACTGTGGCTACAACCAAGAGATCACGATCACGCATTGGCCGCATTCGCGGCTTTTTCGGCAACTTCATTACGCGAATGAGGAATAAAAGTTGGTTTTAAAAAAGAAGACAAATAAATCAAATTTCAGAATGAAATATATGAATAATAGAATTTTTACTATGGGAATGGGGTTTAACAAATGTATAAAAATATTTGTTTTATAAAACGGAAAATGATTTCCCGATTGAAATCAGTTTTTTTGTTTTGTACCCAAAACAGTTAAGATGTTTTATAATTTTGAGAATGATCTATAGTTAAGCCTGCTATATTGCGCCCATAAAAAATAAGCCTAGAAGTATGCAGTAAATTTTGAAAACTCCAAATATCCCCCTTAATCATTTATGATAACAAAGTTGAAATACATATAGTTTGGATCTAAATTTGTATTCATTATTCTTCCTGTTCGGTTTCTGATTTTATTTTAGCCCGATCTGTTGACCTTAATCTTCCGCGTAACCTTGAAGTTCATGTTCTTAACCCGAACTATCTTCTGATTGCCTTTCTTTGTGGTGGCAGCAGCAACAGGTGCCACTGTGGTGGAGGTACTGGTAGGAGCCACTGTCGTAGTCGTCGTTGTGGTCGTGGTGGTGCATTCTACAGAATCGGTGGTGTCAGTGGAGCAGTCGATGCAATCGGCGGCCGTGGGGTCGGCTTCGCAGGTCACAGCAAGGACGCCACTCAGGCAGCAGGAAAGGGCCGCGATCAGGATCAGATACTTGGATGCCAGCATTATTATCTCTTCGTTTCAAATTTACAATATGACTTCCCCTTCCATTGCGTGCCTTATTTATACCAGTTCTTAGGCCCAAAAGAAATTTAACTTGTTTTATCAGTTGTTACGATTTCTGCGAGTGCGAAAATTGGCAATATACGCTGATCAAATTGTTGACAAACTTTGCTGCTTGTTTAATTAATAACGAATCACAATTGTTGGCAAAACACTCGCAGATGTTCGCAAAAAAATAATAATGAAATACAAACGAAATACTAAGTCAAATAAAAAGAAAATAAGCAGCACTTTGGTGATTTTTACGCTCATATTTAATTTTTAATTCGTCAAGCTTGACTTATTTGTTTATAAAGACACAAAAGCGTTGAATAAATAAACGTTGCTTAGTCACTCAGAGATTAAGCGTAGTTTTAATATTTTTTAACAATAATAAATATATAAATCTTATCATTTTTTACTATGGTTTAACAAAACAAAACGTAAAATGAATCTTAGATTCAAATCGGTTTTTTCGTACTGTAAACCGTTTAGATGTTTTGAAGATTATGATGTTGGTCCATTATATAAATTATCGCTAAGCCTGCTGTATTGTGACCATTAAAATAAGTCTAGACTCTAGAAGTATTTATTGACTTTTGAAACTTTAGTGTTGGCCAAATTCCTTGCCAGGCTGTATAAGTGGTCCTTAAGTCTTGTTCCATGTACTTTATAGTAATAGTCTGAACTTTATCCCGAGTTTTGGCAACTGTCTTTGGTCGCTGATGCACCACGGAGCCCCAAAAAGCCTCCTTAACGTTGTTCAGATGATTTTTTTTAGCAATTCCGTAAACTTGAAAGACATCGAACAGGGTGAGGGCTAGAATTTACTCCTATATCATGACCAAGCGATGGCTAGTTGCGTAGTGCAAAAGTCATGACAATAAAAAGGTTCAAGGAATGCTTAAAATTTGGATTTAAAACTATATTTATAATTTTTCTTGTTCGGTTTCTGATTTTGTGTTAGCCTAATAATTTGGCTTTAAGCATCCGTACAATATTGTACTTCAAGTTCATAAGCTTAACTATCTTCTGGTTGCCCGCAGCAGCAGCAGGTGCCACTGTGGTGGAGGTGCTGGTAGGAGCCACTGTCGTAGTGGTCGTTGTGGTCGTGGTGGTGCACTCTTCAGAATCGGTGGTGTCAGTGGAGCAGTCAATGCAATTGTCGTCCGTGGGGTCGTCTTCGCAGGTCACGGCAAGGACTCTACTCAGGCAGCAGGAAAGGGCCGCGATCAGGATCAGATACTTGGATGCCAGCATGATAAACTCTTAGTTGCCAATTTACAATATGTGTCCCCCATCCATTAGGTGCCTTATTTATACGAATTCTTCCGCTCACCGGAAATATAACTTGTTTTAACAGTTGTTATGATTTCTGCGAGTGAGAAAATTCAAAATTGGCAATAAACGCTGATCGAATGGTTGACTTTGCTGATTGTTTAAATAATAACAAATCATAATTGATGGCATAAGAATCGCAAATGTTAGTAAAAAATATTATATTGAAATAAAAACTAAAGGATGTACTAAGTCAAAAAAAAAAGAGAATAATCAGTACTTATTTTTTAATTCGCCAAGCATAACTAATTTGATAATTAAAAAAAAATCGGTATATAAATATACGTTGCTTAATCACTCAAAGATTGTTTAAATATTATATTTTATATAAACAAACAATAAAACAGTCAATTGAAAGTAAGGTAAAGGCTACAAAAATGTGTCTCACTAATAAAAATATTTTAATTTTTATATTTTAATGTATAAAAAACACGATGCAATAATAAAATAAATTATAAATAAATAAGTTATTCAATTTTACAACACTATTTCCCGTTAACACCGAACTATTTCTTTTGATCTGGTAGTACCCGGTGTAAAGCTAGGTGGCATCCCTAACATTCCTGCGAATAGCAGTCAGTGATGTCTTTTCCGCTTTTTTTTCCGGCAAATTCAGTTTTTTTTTTAATTTTAATACATTTTAAGTGCTGTTTTAATTGTGGTTTTAATTTATATTGGAACAGTATCGATTATTTACTTATATCGAATAAGATTGGGAATTCGAGGAAAAATATAAATTGCCAAAACAGACTTAAAAACAAAAGCTCCGATATTCCTTGTTTCCAAGCACAGAATTTAAGGACTTTATTAGACGGGATCCCACTTAATTGACCAGGGATAGCGAAATTTAAAAATAACTGTTAATTTTAAAATTGAAAATAAAAGTTGAATTGCTATAACTGTTAAATTGATATATCTTAATTCTTTAAAAATATGCAAATATGCGATCCTTGGAGTTGTCAGAGTAATGTGCTGTTTTGGAAATTTTGTATACTTAAAATAAAAAAAAAACAAAATATATTTTATTTTTTAAAAATCAACTTATTTTCTTGAGGAATTTAGCTCTTTCCAACTTTTTTTTTCGTTAATTCAGCTTTTTTTTCTCAGAAAAAACGACATCGCTGATAGCAGTGCGAAGAAGAACAAGAAGAACCGAACAACGCAATGGCAATTCCTCCAATTCCTCTTTCTCCGGTCGTTCGTGGGCATTTTGCGAGAAAACTTTTCGCCGCATTTAAAAACGGGCGCATCGAAATATGCAATCAGCGTAAAGTTTGGATTTAAGGTAAACAATACCACCGCCGGCCGCCAGTCATATTGCAAGTTGTTTAACCTCAAAATGACACCGACAACCTTGTCGGAAATTTAAAATAAAATAATTCGAATTGGGAAGTGCGAGACTTTTCGGGCGTGTGGTGTGTGTGATGTAATCGTTTGGTCAGAATGGCGACGGCTGTCTGCCGCTTTTTTGGCCGCAAAAGCAATTGCCAGGGCTTTGTTTACATCAACGCCGGGCTTGCGGTCTGGAATATAAATAAAAAGACCGACTTAACCTCATTTATGGACCCAAATTGGTGTTTATAAGTTGGAATATTTTGCGTGTAAAAAAAGCTTGGACACCACCAAGTCGTTCAGAATGGGCGAACACCGTGGGTGCGAGTGGGACAACCAGTGTGTGCGCGACAGTTGAAAGTCAGTGGTGCCAAAAGTTTTGGCTAAAAAAAAGTTATATTGTGGAGAACACCTAATTTATTTTTTAATTAAAAGAGTAAATTAAGTAACATTCATATTCAGAAAATATAAATTTTATTAACAAGATTCGATTTTGCTGTTATTTAAAGTCTAGATTAGATTTAATAATTTAAATTTTTTGCACAATGTAAAATTGTACAAAGTGCTTCTGTATCTAGCTACGGAATGTGTTTTCGCCATCACTGTTGGAATCTGGCAAGGCGCTGCCACCCCTTCAAAATCAACAAAAACAAATGGTTTCCGTATGAAAAAAGTGGCTAATCTGCTTAAATTTGGAACTGTAATTAATTTTCTAGAAATATTGAATATTATTATTTATCGAAAGCCAGTCTTCTGTGTGAATGAAGGGATTTAAGGTACGCCCAACCGATATGTGGCAACGCCGCTAGTTGCACTCTCCCTCTCCCACGGTTTTCGGCCTCTGAGCACATGTTAAGCGGCAGACACAATTGTTGCTCGTTTTCCGTGCAATTCTATTTTTTTTGTTTATGTGCTTACGTACGCTCTCTCTCTTGCCAGGGCCAGTAAGTGATGAACAACCAGGACTATGGCGGCATCCAGTGGATACAGCACCATCCCGCTGCAGGCGACTCCTCCGAGACGGACATTATGGAGCACGAAGACGCCGACGGTGATGATATGGTGAGCGGAGCGGACGGCGACCCGGATGGGGACGGAGATGCCGACGTTGATCTGGACCATATGGCTGCCGAGAACCTGATCTTTATGGCGCGTGACGGCCAGCTGGGCGAGATTATCGCCGCCAACGAGGGAACCGTCCTGGTCACCGCCGATGGCACTACGGTAGCTTATGCGGAATCATTCGACGACGACGCCCAGGTGGTCACCGAGGAGGTCATCACGGATGACTGGGTGCAGCACCAGGGAGCCGAGCGGTGAGAGATAGATCTGGCCACTAAAAGCTGTTGAATTAACGGATTTCTGCATATTTTATAGCGTGGAAATCGCCGCCGAGCAGATAGCTGGCATCAGTAGCTCTCAGGAACTATTGGACATGGAGCAGGATGAGTATACGGCTCTGCGACCCTATCCCTGCGACTTTTGCAGCCGTCGCTTTCGGAAGAAGGCCAGCTTGAACAACCATATGCTGGCCCACCAAAACGACCGACCTCATCTCTGCAAGCTGTGCGGGGCACGCTTCTCACGCCGGGCGGAGCTCATTAGCCACTTTAAGGCCCACGCTGAAGCTCAAGATGCTGCAGATGCCGAGGCAGCAGCCGCCGCCGCTGCCGTTTCGGGCTCTTCTTCCATAAAGTTCGAGAATCAAAGCCACAGGCAGACGGATGATCACTACTACGAACAGGAGTGGCCGCTGTATCAGCAGCAACATCAGCAGCAGGAGCAGGAACAGCAACAGGAACTAGGGCAGCATGAGCAGATGCTGCAACAGGAACAACAGCAACTTGTCTGCAACAGCGAGGTCCAGTTTGTGGCCAGCTACACAGCATCGGTGGCTCCTCCTCCTGCTCCGTCGCGTGGAAGAATAAGCAGGCTGAAGCCCAAGGAGGAGAGCAGCCAGTTCATCGTAATTACCGATAAGCCGGCACCCAGTGAGTTACGGGACTACATGGCCAGTGAGCCGGTGCCTCAGCCAGTGGTGCCCACATCTCAGCCCATGGCCATTGATGCGCCGCCTGCACCGCAGCCAAACTTCCCGGTGCTGGACGACAGCAAGCCCTTTGTGTGTCAACAGTGCGGATTGGCTTTTGCGCGGGAAAAGGCGCTGGTCTCTCACACAAAGGTAAAAAGAGATTCCCAAGGCTGCTGCTTTTATACCTGAAAACAGGTTCACCAAAAAAAATCCACCACTAATTTTACCTATTTGGCTTGCAGAACCATCGCGTGGACTCGCCCTTCGAGTGTAACCAGTGTCAGGAGATGTTCTGGGACAACAGCAGCCTGCAGGACCACCAAAAGACGCATCAGTTTGAGGAGAGCAACTCCGAGTATGATCCCGCTTCCGGCGAAGATAGCGCCAGCGAAACGTCGGAGCCGGAAGATCAGCTCTACGGGGAGTTCTACTGCAACGAGTGCGGCATCTCCTTCCATCGCCAGGATTTACTGCGACGCCATGCCAAGCAGCATTTCAAGCAGCAGGATCATCATTCGACGGTGGCGGCAGGCGACGGCAGCTCCTCGGACGTCATAGCTAGCGGGGATCAGGCCAAAGAGGGTAATGACGGCCACTGTTGTCAAACGTGCGGTAAATCATTTCCAAGTGCCGCGGAGATGCTTTCCCACGCCGAAATCCATGCGAGGTTTCCTCCCTTCAAGTGAGTTGCAAAGTTGTCGCAATCGAATTCTTTTTAATCCGAAATCCTCTTCCAGGTGCGTTCTTTGCGGCATAAGTTTCTACGAGGAGCAGGCCATCAAGCGGCACCTGCACGCCCGCCATCCCAACGAACTGAAGGCCAACTCCTGTGTGCTATGCGGCAAGGAGTGTCGCGACCGCAAGGCCCTGATAAAACATGCCTGGGATCACTCCCGCGAGAAGTGCCACTCCTGCTCCAAGTGCGGCAAGAACTTTCACAATAAGGCGCGACTGAAGCGGCACATGGCCTCCCACAGGGACAAGTCCGTGGTGTGCGAGGTCTGCCAAGAGGAGTTCCCCGACGGACGTACGTTATCTAATCACCGTCACTCGCATAGCACCACGTCGCCGGGCAAACTGTTTCCTTGTCACGAATGCGGCAAGACATTCGGATCACGCAGTTCCCAGCAGATCCACGTCCGCATCCATACGGGTGAGCGTCCCTATGGCTGTCGCTACTGCTGGAAAGCCTTTGCCGATGGCGGAACGTTGCGCAAGCACGAGCGGATCCATACGGGGGAGAAGCCCTACGCCTGTTCCGTGTGTCCGCGTGCCTTCAATCAGCGGGTGGTGTTGCGCGAGCACATCCGTTCCCACCACTCTGGACTGGATGGGGCGAGAAATACCTACCACTGCACAGTGTGCTCGGAGGATCTGGCATCCTCCAATGACCTCATACAGCACCTCATCCAGCACAGTGATTCGAACACCGCCAAACAGCGTCAACCAGTGGTGAGTTCCCTAATAAATTTTACTCTAAAAGTATCACAAAAACTTAATTTTTAAAACCTTTTTTTAGACGGGCCCGCGAAAGTATAAGCGTCGACGCAAGCTGCAGCCACACGAGATCGCACACATGCGGGCGGAACACAAGGATGCCAATGGCGGCGGCGACGAGGAGGAGATTTTGGGTGCCGAAGGCAATGGCGATGGTGATGAGTATGCCAGCGATATCGACCTTTGCGACTTTGATGTGGAGAATGTGGACGATCTTTTTGAAATGGCCGAGTCGTCGCCCAAAAAAGAGAAGCGCAAGAGGGCATCGGCGACATCTGTAAAGACAGAACAAAAACCTATTTCCAATGGCGGCGGATCAGCGGTGAAGCCTGTCCAGGAGAAGAACAAGGCCAAGCTGCGATATGACTCCACCAGCAGTCAGCAATCGGATCGAATTTGGGAGGAGAAGTTCCTGCAGGACAGCCAGGTTTCGCTCTTTCAAATCGATTCGCTGGTGGTGGTCAACGATACACATCTGCAGCCCGCTAGCTCAGCGGCCATGCCCAAGACGAGAGGTGGCGCCAAGCAGCAGCAGCAGCAGGCCAAGCAGCCCGTTGAAAGAGCTAGCAACTCCAATCCCTCGGCTGCAAGCTCAGTTGGCACATCATCGGCCTCCGCCTCTGCCTCTACATCCACTTCCAGCAGTCGTAGCAGGAAGAAGACGGCAGCCGCTAAAACGGCTGCTGCCTCGCGACCCCGGATGATTCACACAGAGAAGACCAAGGTGCCGGCCAAGGAAACTGCCGGCGGGGAGTTGGCCAAGAAGACTCGCTCCAAGACCTACATCACCCGCACGGAGACGAGCAATCTGGGCAGTCTGGACAAGTCGCGCAGCCGAGCCTCCAACATCGTGGATGACTACGAAATCATTTCACCGGCTACCCATCCTCCCAACCAGATCAGCTCCAGTCCCCTGCACATCAAGCAGGAACAGGAGCAGCAGCACCGTGTCCCGATGATGTACGACGACAATCTCCTGATAGACGCTGCCCTGCTGCGGGAAAAAACCTACGAGAAGTTCAACCCGAGCATTGTGAATGATCTGGAGGAGATCCTGCGCTCGCCGCTTAAGCACGAGCGCAACACCCGCCTGCGATTCACCAGCGAATCCTCGACCACGCCACAGTTTTTGCCCGAAGAAGAGCAGAATCTGATTAAGATCGAGCCCACGTCTCCAGATTTGCGGGAGATGCTGGAGAGTCAGAGTCAAAGGGTCAGGGTACCAAGTGGCAACACACCGTCGACCTCGTCTTCCTCCGCCGCCAGAACTTCTCGTCATCGTATGATCACAGCCAGTGGACCAAGAGCAGGGAACAAGAGAGGAGCAGGCAGTGGTAGCAGCGCTAGCAAATCTTCACCTGCCCCGGGAGTAATGGCCAAGAAAGTGAGCACTGCTGCCAGTAAGGTCGGCGGCTCGTCCTCGTACCTTAATTACGGTGTGGATGCCTACAATGTAAGTGTACCTGCCAGCGCCAGCACTGCCGATGTGGGCAGCGGATTCTTTTCCATCTCTGAGGTCGTATCGGCCGCCGATGCTGCTGATGCGGCGGCCAAGGCGGCTGCGGCCGGGAAACCGGAGCGAAAAACGCGCAGTTTCGAGTGCGAAATGTGCTCGGCCATCTTTTACGATCGAGCCCAGTTACTGGACCATGTGCACATCCACATCTAGATGGGTGTGCCTGACGCTGCCTAAACCACTCGCCCCCGAAGGAACCGATGGCGTTTTCGGGTTTCATACATATTTCCCCAAGGGAAGCACAGCAAGCCTTGTATTTTTGAAACCTCTTATCCTAAAAAAAACATACAAATAACAATTTCGATAGGAAATTGGACGGATGTTACCTCAGCCTCATGGTATCGTCGTGCATCGAACAGCAGATAGATCGTTGATTTATGCGTTATTTAAAATTGAAAAAACATAAAAACTATTTAAGAAAGAGAGCCTAGTTCGTAAGACTTTTAAGTTTGTACCTCAGAGCTTTTGTTTTGAAGAATCGATTGGTATGCTGGAAATAAATACATCATTAAATGGTTATCAATGCCTTAAAAAGTGTCTTGTGTAATGGATCTCAACGGAGATGTCAGATAGATCGTTGATTCGACGAACTGCTTTTGATAAGGGGTGCAAAATGATGTAATGTGTTTGCTGGAGCTTCTTTTGGAATCAGTCTCTGGAGATCTTTAATTTAGAAAAACGATGGAAAATTACCATAACATATCAATCATACCATATCATATCAATCATACAAAATCTGTCTGAATTCAAGCTTCATTTTGGATATTTAAAAGGGGTGACTTGCAAGTAGTTTTTTAGGGGTAAGTAAATTATAAATAATGATGATTTTTTCATCGGTTTTATTTGTGTCTATTGAACTTTAAGAACCTCATCATTAATTTAAGTTGCTTATTTAAAGGCTGACATATATGACATGCCGAAAAGCAAATAAGTGCAATCAAGCTGCTTTATAATGCTTCTCTGTTTATTAAATGGAAATGACTGATGTGAGCTTGCACATAGAACAATAAATGTCATACATAGATCATATCTACCAACTACTATAGAACACGCGCTCCAAATGGCACTGATAAGAGGTGATTTCCCCCGTAAGCCAGATGTGTTTGCTTGTGTTTGGTTTGAAGCCATGATTATATATATACCTTATATATATGAGTGAGATCGGAGAGTTGTGGTTTGTTTAACTGTTTGGACAGCTTTTCTATGGAAAACCGCAAGTGCTCTGTCAATCCCAGAAGATCAAAAGGTCCTATATAGGGAATAATACCCTTGAGTTAGCTTTCTACTTTTTATAAATAAATTAATTAGCAAATGCCGGGGTTTTGTGACCCTAAATATAGTAGATTATTCTTTCAAATAGCTTTGTTTGGAATATTGAATACACATACGATGTAAATAGATGCTAATTTAAACGGGCGGACTTTATAATAAAGAGAATACACATTTAGATAGGAACTTGTCAGTGATAAGTATTCGACTTGTTGTTACCCTGCAGAGAAAGGGGCCTAAGAAATTAGTCAAGGTTTTGGTTTTTTTTTAGTTAACTTATAATTTTCACTTACAAATTACAAATGAGTTATGAGAACTATTACTGACTCATACATTTTACTAACAGAGAGCGAGAGAACCAAATAGTTTATACTCTTGCTATGTAACATGCCCGATATACCCTCTCTGGTGACATCTGCCTATCGTATTTTTCCATCGTCGCGTCGCCCTCCCACAGTGATGGCAGGTATATATAATAGTTCGCTTTAGTGGTTGTTCAAATCAGTTCTCTCACAATCGTCGAGACAGCAATATGAACGGAGTTAAGTCGTTGTTCCTTCTGGGCCTGGTCCTCCTCAGCTTGGCCGCCTTTGTTGTTGCCAATGATGAACAACCCGTTCTCGGAGGTCCAAAGCAGTTGGAGGGAGACGACAGGAAGGCGGCTATTGACGAGTTGGATGCCGCCCTTGCAACTTTGGCCACTGGAGATGGTCCCAGCTACAAGTAAGTGAAGGTCTCAGTCTCAGTCTCACTGAATATCAAAACTAATATGTGATTCTTTTCTATCCTCCCAGGGCCATCAACGTGAAATCTGTTACTGATCAGGTAGTTTCTGGATCACTCAAAACCTACGAGGTGGAGCTAAAGAACGGCGATGACAAGAAGGACTGCACTGTGAAGATCTGGTCTCAGCCTTGGTTGAAGGAGAACGCCACCAACATCAAGATCAAGTGCGGCAATGAAGGTGAACTGGACCGTACCTGGTAACTAACCAGCAACCGAAGTTTAAAAATGTGTCTTCAATCAATGTGAAAACGTTCTTAAATGGACAATTTTAATAAAAAATAAAGCTTTTGGAAAAACAATTTAATTTGCTAAAGATTGTTATATTAAAAATTAATTACGAATTTATAAGAATTATTTTTATATCTCAGATATTTATTAGTAGATATACTAAACTCTTCATCAGGTAAACGCCTTTTCAGGTGTAAATTCATTAAATTGAATATAAAATATTTATAATTCGCCGCAAAATTCATTATTAGATAACCAGTTTTGTTGGCAAACCAGTTTGCTTATATATGGCATATGGCAAATAGGTTGTTCTCTCACTCTTAACTATTGTGTGAATTTAATTAGTCAATGTTGACGTCGACATCATCAGTTAACGCAGTGGATGTTACAAAATAATATTTTTCTTTCCATTACTATTTTTTTTATCATGTTGTAAATTATTTTACATTGCAATTGTTAAGTCAATAATTAAATTAAATAGTTACATGTCTAGCAGTGCATTTGTATTCCAAGTATGAATAATCATCTAATTCTGAAATTGATAGAAAGGTCCAGATTTTATTTACATGAAAAATACTTAAACGTCATTTGATTCCTAGATTTAAAAGTTAAAAGTTAACCCAGGTTCAATCAAGAAATCGGGCGTAACAACTCAGGTCAATATATTTTAAAAAGTTCAATTTGAGAGCTCCCAAATTAAGTGTAATTGATAAGAAATATACTACAATATAGTTTACATAAATTCGAATGAATGTATAATATATACAACCGCATCTATAAAAAACCAATCGAGAACTTTGTCTAATTAGTTTGAAATAAGTGTTTGGGAAAAATGCACTCTATAAAAATATTCTTGGCTATCAGCCTGATTTGTACCGTTGCCTTTGCTTGGGTGAGATGAAATTAGTTTTTAATATATAACAAATATATTGTTGTTGAAACCTTTAGGACTCTGGTAGCCTAAAACAATTGGAGGGAGATGATTTAACGGCTGCCAACGAACTTTTGACCAAAAACTTCCACAAACTGCTTGGTCCCAGGTACAAGTAAGTATTTAATTTAAATTCAATAAATCATATGGAAAGTTTTCTTAGATTTAAATAATTCAACTTAAATTATTTTATATTGCTTTATTTCAGTATCATTCAGTGGTTTCCTACAAAGTCTTCGACTAGCATTTTTTATAAATATGTTGTGGACATTTCTGATGGCTCCCACCGGAATGAGTGCACCTTTACCATCACGCAAAATGTTCCCCCCGTTGAGAATTACAACAAGATCGATATGATGTGCCAGGGAAAACTAGAACTGAAAACTGAATATTGGTAATTGGTCAGATAATGCAATATCTGAAAGTAAATCCTATATTTATATATTTTTACAAATAAATTAATCTTCTGGAAAACGCCAACCTCTTAGATTTCTTCACTTAAAAATATTCCCTTTAAAATTCTCATTGAAATCTTTTCGAAATCGTTTTTATATGCTACCTGTTTACTTTAACATGAGTCCCTTCAGTTCACACCCTCTATATGCATATATATAAAAAAATATATATATATATCTGACTTATAAAGTGGTTACCCCAGTGGAACTTAAATCAGTTTGCTCATGAACGTTGAGCGAGTTACATTAAGTCATTGACTTCGTTGTATATTCTTTGGGTTTGTTTTTTTACTCTGACTAAAGTCAAGTTGATCATGAGTGACGTAGAGGATTTCCCTGGAGGGATCAACAATTTGGAGGGCTTGAAGAGACAGGAGGCTTTGGATCTGCTGAACTCTTGCCTCGCCCACTTGGCCAAGGAAGATGGTCCCAGCTACAAGTGAGTTGGTTATAAAAATATATGTCCAAAATGTAAAAATCAATATGTGCTATCCGTTGATCAGGATCATTAAAGTGATTTCTGTGACGGGTCAGTTGGTGGCTGGAGATCTCTACAGGTACAAGCTGGAGCTGGACAATGGAACCGACATAAAGCAGTGCTCCATAAAGATCTGGTATCGAAGCTGGCTTAAGGAGGATGGTATCAATATCAAGATCAAGTTTGCTGGAGAAGAAGGCGAGCTAGATAGAACTTGGTGATCAATGTTCTATAAGTTTGTTAATTTAAAAGAGTTTTATTTTTGTATTCAAAACTTTTGTATGTGAAATAAACATAATTGTATAATTTATTCTTATAAAAAAGTAATTAAAATGTATTTTAAATATTTAAAATAAGTAGGAAATCGGGACCAAGGCCAACTTATATATAAATTCCTACCTGAGTTCTCAACAATATTTACACTTAGAAAGAAAGACTTGGTATTTAGGTAGGAATTATATCTATCTTATATATATATTTACTTGTAAACATTCTGAACCCTACCCAGGTAAAAAAAATATTGATAAATTATCAGGTAAGCGCTACTTACATCACCACATTGTATATAGGGCTGGGTTCCTAGAGGAACCTCATATAATGTTCGATATTTCTTCTTCCTTCTCTCTCTTTTAAACGAATTTAAATATGTCAATGTTGACTCTATAATATACTAAAAACATTCCACTCATTAAAATATTATTTTCCTTTTTTCTGAGGCTGAATAGGCTTTGTTCTTTTCACATCACATCAACAAGCGAATTTTTTCACAACAATATGGGTAATTCTACACACTCACCGGTATTGCTTATTTTTTTGCTTATCGTATATACACAAACAATGCAATTGTTGTTGCCATTTATGAACTGATAAGGGAAACCTGAGTAATACCTTTAGCTTAAGTCAAATGTTTGGGAAACGCATGAAACGCATTCGTATTCCAAACACCATTCGGAGAACGTCGCAGAGTATTTTTACTACAAATTACCAGATAAATATTATTTTTTCTTCAATATCGAAACGGTTTTGATTGTTATTTAGTCGTTGTTTTACTCTTGAAAAGTGAAATGTCTCAGGTGAATATATTTAACGATAAGGCATTAAAATTATGAGGAACTTTAGTGCGTGATTAAAATGTTTTCCTTTTGAAATCACTAGGTTTTTTCAATGACAAAAATAAAAACAAATAATAATATTATTCATCAAAATTTAATATAATATATAAATAATATATAAATATGTGTCAAGCCTAAAATGAGTAATAAAACTATTGCCCGCCTTATCAGTTCTTGCTTTTAGAATTCAGCAAACATTTTGCTGATAACACATTGTGAAAAAAGCAAAACAAAACAAATACTGTTTTGGTTAATATAAAGAAACAACAAATTGATAACATATATTTATGCAAACAATTTAAGAAACGTTTTGTGATTTAGAGCTTTTTTTGTAATACAAAAAATATAAATTAGCGAGCTATGTATGAGTTGAGACCATAGATTTTTTTTAATATTTGTTTTATCTAATTTATTTATCCAAAATGAAAGTAATTCCCTATATAAGTAAACAACAAGACCATTTTTCGGATAAAATTTACTATTATTAAGGAAAAAATAATTATATTTTTTTTAAGACGAGTCTTTTACTTGTAAAACAGGAAACCGGCTTGACCTTGTGTCTGCAAAAAGATTATTCTTGCAAAGCCAAAGATTGCTGCTAACAAAAACCACTTTTGTAATTATAAAAAAATATATATGACGGCTTTGCAAAATTAATTGGCTCTTTGTTCCCCTGTGATTTCTAAATTTAATCAAAAATTCGCCTATTTCAAAGTACATAAGATGAAAGTAATGTATTTAGAAGTCAAATCAGAGTTCAATTTTAAGGGCGTTCATTCTCGGGCCGGCCGGAAGGCTGTAATCTACGGGTACATAAACATATACAATATATATAACTATATATATGTTTAGCCTCCCCAAAAACCGAGACCCTATCAGTCTCCTATAAAAGAGGGAGCTCTGCACTCTGTGTACTCAGTTTGAAACGAGCATTCGGGTAAAAAACACACCATGAAAGTGATCATTGTGTTTAGCCTTATTCTGTCTGTGGCCTTCGCTGGCGTGAGTTGGGATTAATAAATTATTTAATTTTAATAATTTTCAAATATTAATCGCGATTTTTATAGCAACGGATACCCGGTGCCCCAAGGACCCTTGAAGGAGATGAGCTGAATGAGGCCAAGAAGCTTTTGACCACCACATTCGCTGGTCTGCCTGCAGGCGATGGTCCCACTTATCAGTAAGTTTTTATTTGAAATTAAAATAAATAATTTAAATATTTACGTTTACTTATTTGTAATAATAATATTTCATAATATTTCTCTGTTATTTCAGGGTTGGCAACGTGGTCTCTGTGACTCGTCAAGTAGTAGCTGGCACTAAATATAAATATGTTGTGGACGTTTCCGATGGATCCGTCACTGAGGAGTGCACTGTCACTATCTGGCAACAGCCTTGGCTGCAAAAGAATGGTAACAACGTCAAGATCGAGTGCAAGGATGTCGTCAAGCTTAATCACACCTGGTAGATTACAGTGACTGATTTTTGTTTGCGCCTCGAATAAAAAGTGATTTTAAAAAGTAATAAGAGTTGGATGAGTGATTAAAATATTGAGGGAAATCTAAATTGGATTGATGACCTGCCAAATGATGATGACTTCCCTTTGAAGCCTTTATTCTTGGTTTTATTTATAAGTATTCTGGTTTATCTTTGGCTGGCATAACGAAACAGGGGTATCTTGAAACTTTTATAAATATTCTTTGTTCCTTTGTCTTTTCTTCCTTTGTGTGGACACAGTTGCCGATGAATCAATACACTTTAGCAACTCCTGACCTGCACAATTCAGTATAATTAAGTAATGTATAAAACAACCCAAACAAGTCTGAAAATAAATTAAATTAAAATTAAATAAAGAAGCTAGATGAACGAGGGGTTTCATTGTCGTCGGGTTCAGGTTTGAATGCACGAGCTGCTCTCTTTCTCTAGCGATCGGATTGTTTTAAACTTGCCTTAGCAGATATACAGATATAATATGTATTCTAGAGGAACACTCGTATATTGTCAGAGTTAGCTATAAAAGAGGTCTCTCGGCAATCGGTTGATTTAGTTTGAAACAGGTGTTTGTGAAAAATGCAGTCTATGAAAGTGATCTTTGTGTTGGCACTGACATTGGCAACGGCTTCGGCGCTTGTAAGATGTGATGGATTGTTAAATAAAAATTAAAAAATAAATGGTAATTTATAAAGAAATGTATAATCAAATACAATAACAAATTTTCAGCGCAGTCGTCTGTTCGGTGCACCCAAGCCGCTTGAGGGAGAAGAGCTGGAGACAGCCAAGGTTCTCTTAACAAGCACACTCGAGGAACTGGCCGCTGGAGAGGGTCCCAAATACGAGTAAGTTTTATTAATTTAAAATATTTAAAAAGATAAAAAATATTAGTATTACAGAGTCATAACGGTGACATCAGCAACTAGAAAAGTAGTGTCAGGATCCCTAGACACCTTTGTTGTGGAACTCTCCAATGGCTCGGAAAATAAGGATTGCAAAGTGCAGATCTGGAGCCAGCCCTGGCTAAAGCCTCTGGGAACCGGCACCAATGTCAAGATCTATTGCCAGGATGACGAAGTTGTGGAACGTACTTGGTAGACAAAGTACTGCTAACCATTAATAAATTGTGATTATCTGAAAAAAGTAATCTTTAAAACTTGTTATTGCGTTGGATAATCATGCATATACTTTGGTGAATCCCTAAAGAAATCGTGCTAATATAATTCAAAGTGCTGCGGATTGATTGTGGAGTAACCAGTTTCAGAGTTAAACGAGTATATTTGCGGCTTATAATTTTGAATAGGTCAACAGAGCAGAGATCAAACGAAATAAAGTTCTATTGTCAGTAGACTTTGTAATAAGTAAATTGTAAATTTGAATCGTAAATTGTACACTTTTTATTAGAGGACACAGTTCAATGTTAAAGTAATACTATTTAAGATGCCTTGATCAGCAAGTGTTTGCAGTGCTTAAAATTTTAAAACTAATTCGTTTTTTTATTTTTTTTTATACAGAATACAGAGAACGTGGAGCCGAAAATTCAACTAGAGATAAAAGCGTACAAAGTGTCACTTTTTCTATAAAATAACCAAAGATAGACACTGACTTACTTTACTTTACTTCATTAACACCTATGTAAATGTTAGCTTTTGTTTGTTAGTTTTCTCTTGATTTATTTCAGACCTTTAGAATTTTACTAAAATTTTACTATGGCTCCAATACAGCTTCAGAAGTCATCAAACTCAAGACTTAAAATTTTAGTTAACAAGGAAAGTTTAATTCTTTTTTCTTGCTTAGAAAACATTTATTTTTTATTGAATGCTTTTTTCCAATTCTAACAAATTTTTTGTCATTTCATTGCCTATGAAAGATTGTCCTTTTTAACCGCTCCTGTTATTGTTCCTGTTGTTGTTCCTGATGTTGTTCCTGCGGTTCCTCTGACGCTGAGCCCTCTGACGCTGGCGCTGGCGGCGACGTCGCTGAATCTGCTGGCGGCGCCTCCTCCTACGGTTGTTGTTACCGCCGCTGCTGCTATTACCGCTGTTGCTGCTGCTGTCGCTGCCACTGTCGCTTCCAGTGCTAGGAGAGTTTGAGTCCGAAGGAGTCGAAGGTGTCGAAGGAGTCGAAGGGGATGAGGGCGAGGTGCTGCCATCAGTGGGGGTGGTGCTTCCATCAGTTGGGGTGGTGCTTCCATCAGTTGGGGTGGTGCTGCCATCCGTTGGAGTCGTGCTGCCATCAGTGGGAGTAGTACTTCCATCCGTGGGAGTAGTACTTCCGTCCGTTGGGGTGGTGCTGCCATCGGTAGGCGTAGTACTGCCATCACTTGGAGTGGTGGGATCCTCCTCGGCCCGGCTGTAGCTGGAGAGGCACAGGGTGAAGAGGGCAAGGCCCAGGAGAAGAGTGGTGGCTCTCATAGTTGCTGTCGGTTCAAACTGATTGACTTGCTTGATGATCTTCGGTTGGAGGCCATCGCTTTTATACCGCTTTCTCCTCCTCCCGGCTCCAGCTGGGCTAATAAATTGATTGAAAAGAACTTTCGGTATTGGCGAATTACAGCAGCTGTCAGAAAGCTAATATTTATATTTATTAGCCCTTGTTAATACTTGTTTCTTGGCTAAATATTTGCAGCGTCTTTGGGGTAGAACGCGTGGTAGAAGACGCAAAATATTAGCTTAATATCTGGGATATTAGTTGCTATCACAAGAAAGCTGATTGTTGGGAAACCTACAACTCGAATGAATACTTTTTAATGAGTGTTTTTAGGCGCTAACGAATATTAACTTTTGATATTTCTTGTGGGTAACTTAAGGCTGTCTTAACAATTTTTCAAATTTTTGTTATGGGAAATATTTAGTGTTTTGATAAGTAAACTAGAATTGGTAGTAAATTAGAATTGGTTGAATATATTTGTTATGTAGTTAACTCTTAGTTTTGATCAGAAAATATATTTGAACAGAGTCTCGTAAGTTTTGTTTATATTTTTCTTAAGGCTTGAACTAATAAAATATCTTGAATTTTCAGCTAATTATTGTAATATTACCTAGATAAAATCGTATAAAGTACCAAAATAAATAAATAGTGCGGAAATATATTCCTTTCAAAATTTAATTGAAGTACTAACCTTTGTATCCAACTTATTAAATGTATTCCCTAACCCGTATAAATCCCATCTCTCGTACTTCACAAATAAAGCCAGATGTATTTTTCTAACCGAACTTTTTTGCGAATTCTCCGCAAACAAAACTCAAACCAATCTTTGTGCAAATTCTTTGCAAACAATTAACGAAAATAAGAATAAAATTCAAAAAATACAGCTGCGTAAATTTGCCAATAATTTGTGGATGCCTTAGGCGCGTGGAATCGAAGCGGGTATAAAAAGCACTCCCGAAACGGGAAGCCCACACAATCCCGAACTCCCGAACAGCCAACAGAAAACACCATGAGAGCAGCCACCATCTTCTCCGTGATCTTCGTCCTGGCAGCTTGCCTGCTGAGGAGTAGCGATGCGGTTACCTGCACCGCTGATGCCAGCGTTGCCAACTGCATCGACTGCACCGATTCCGCCAACACTTCGAATGCGGAATGTGTGGCAGAGGCAGAGGCAGCGGCCACCACCACAACGGTGGCTCCTACAACAACAGTGGCCGCAACGGAGGCGACTACTACGGCTACGGCCACCACAGTTGCGAGCACCGCCACCGGGGGCAATCGTAAAAGGGTCCGAGTGACCAACATGCGATTTGCAGTCACACGCCGCATTCGCATCTTTCGCAACAGGAGCACCACGGCGCGTACCACCAGCACAAGGAACCGGAACACCGTGAGGAGGGTCAACGTGAGGAACCGCAGGGGCAATGGCAATGTTCGCGTCATAGTGGGCTAGGAGGAAAAGAGGAATCAAATAAACAACTGAAGAACTTTAAAGAGATAACAAATTAATGGTTTTCATTTGGGGAGTGTACCATAAATATAAATATAAAATGTATATAAATAAAATATAATATTAATACAAATTCAAATTAATTTAAGGGGTACAAGATATTTATTTTGTTTTTAAAGAAGAAAGAGGATAATTTCAAAGAGGAAAAGAATAAGGATAAGAGGTGACATATAACGAAATAAATCTATTTATTATACATATGCATTAATAAATATATAATCTATGACTAACGGAACCTTACATCTATATAGAAATTGAAATAATTTTAGACCATTTTTGAAACCAGCTTAAAATTACTGCAAAGTTCGTACGTTTTATTATATTTAATGTATATATTAAACTTTTTTTTTTCATAATTTATATTTGTTTTAAAATAAATGCCTTTATGATATGGCAAAGTTTTTGTGTATTTGTAAAATTATTTACGCCGTACTTGCTGCATATTAAAGATTCTTATTTGTAGTTCTCTTCTAATTATCAGTTCTCTTCGGTAATTATTTTCTAAGCCAATCGTTGGCGAATTCTCCGCAAACAATTCAAGAATGAATTCTCAAATTTGACAAGAACCAGCTGTGTTAACAAGCCACAAGAATCGAACCACTATAAATACCATGCACACGCTCTATATAATATTTAAGAAGCAAGCATCTGTGGCATGATGAGGGCAGGAGCAATCGTATCAGTTGCAGTCTTGGTCCTGGCATCCTGTCTCCTGAGGAGCAGCGAGGCTGTAACTTGCTCAATTGATGACACTATCGCTGGCTGCACGGACTGCACGCTTACAACCAATATCTACGATCCGGAGTGCCTGGCCGAAGCAGCAACAACCACACCATCTCCCACCATCGCACAACCGCCCAGCGCACAGTGGGGCCAATCTAGGTTTCCTTGGCATAAAGTTAAGAATGTGTTGCTGATGTTTTAATGATTAGTAAAAATTCTTTGTAAATAAATATTCTTGCTGCACAATTTACGCTAATAAATTATAATACAAATATTTGCACACATGTATAAATAGACTTTAATAAATAAAGTGAAGAGATAAAGCAATAAAAATATGATTATTTTTGATTTCTTTGATACTCTAGAATATTTAGTATCATTTTTGCAGAGTTTATAGAATTTAAATAATTAAATAAAGACGCGTTTTTCTTCTTCTCTTAAAACAACAAGCACACCTGGATACATTTACTATTTTATTTATTAGAAGAAGATACAATAAAAAAATATGATGCAAACACCTGTGACAATACTTCTAGCATATCGAACCCCTATAAAAACCTTGCCGACATTTAATATCTACGTCAATCTAGATTCTAGAACCATGAGAACAGCAGTCATCACGGTTACCATAGTTTTTATCCTGGCAGCCTGCATCCTAAGGAGCAGCGAGGCGGTCACCTGTACCGCTGATCCTACCGTCACCGGATGCATTGACTGTACCCAGAGCTCCAACGCTGCGTATGCGGAATGTGTAGTTGAGAACTCACAGAAATCCACCGCTGTTCAATGGGGCCACTCTTCGTTTCCTTGGAGCCGAGTTAAGAACATTATGTTAATGTTTTGATAAGTTTATAATTCAAAAATAAAACAGTGGTTTGAAATCTTTTGTCTAGTTCAAAGAAATACTTAAGATAAATTTAATATAATTTTGAACACAGTTTTTAGAGCAATTTTCTATTCATTTAAATAGTAAAATAATTAGCTGCAACAATAAGTTGTTTCATATTGAACTTACTTCAATCAAAAGATTTTTCCAGCTTTTCCTTTTATATAATTTGAAACACATCTCTCTTAAAACAACACAAATATAGATATGTGCTTGCAAATTAATTTATAACGCAATCCTACGCAAATTCTAAGCAAACAATCGCAGAAAGTACACTAAAAATATATGCCAATTAATAAAAAGCAGCTGTTCCAATAATTTAAGCGTGTCGAAACGCTATAAAAACTTATTTGACATCTCATATTAACCTCAATCAAGAACCATGAGGCCAGAAGTAATTACCATATACGGAATCCTCGTTCTGGCAGCCTGCATCCTAAGGACTAGCGAGGCAGTGACCTGCACAACAGATCCCACAGTCACCGGGTGCATCGATTGCACCGCTGATCCCTCCAACTCACAGTGCGTTCCCGAGCTTACAGGTGGCACAACAAATAATCCCTCCACGCCATGGGGCAACTCACCGTTCCCGTGGGATAAGGTCAAGAGAATTTTATTAATGTTTTAAATTCTTTGAATAAATCTTCAAGAAGAGCTCAAAAATTTATGTCTAATTTTTAAATGTGCTATGGGAAAGGTTTATGTTTCTAACGATGTTTTAAGACATTTTTATGATGAGATGATCGATTTTAAATCTGCGAAAAGGTTTCATAAATATAGTATTTAAATTTAAGAATTTATAGGTATTTTTTTACATTAAAAATAGAGACTTAAGCTGGTTAACCAACAACAAAAAAGTAGGCTATAAAATATTACCTTACCAAAAATTAAAACATTTGTTGTATGTTTACTTTTTTAACGACTGATCAGCAAATAAATAATGATTTAATTATAAACCGAGTTGATCTATTAATCTTTTTAAAATATTTAAATAAAGTTTACATTTTGTGCGACGCTCTGTGGAGTTGAATTAACAATGCTTTGTATTTAGTTTATTTATTTATACATTTATTTAATTTTTCATAACAAGTGGCTTTTACATTCGGAAATATGTACTTATGTATGATTCTAGCCAACAACGACGCGAACCCTGCCGTTGCCATTGCGTCCTTTGACATTGCCACGTCTGGCGTTGTTGCCGTTCCTACGGTTAACGTTCCTTCGGTTGCGATTCGTGTTGCCGGAGCGCCTGCTGGCGGTTCCGCGGCGGGATGTGGAGCTTGTGGTGCTGCTCCCGACACGGATGCGCCTCTGGGCCGTGTACGTCAGATTGTTGACGCGGACGATCTTCGCATTGCTAGGACTCGTGGATGCTGTGGTAGTGGCTTCCGTGGTGGACGTGGTTGTGGTAGCCGCAGTTGTTGATGTGGTGGAGGACGCTGCTGCCTCTGCAATACATTCCGCATTCGAAGTGTTGGCGGAATCGGTGCAGTCGATGCATCCTGCGACGGTGGAATCAGCGGTGCAGGTTACAGCCTCGGTGCTCTTCAGGAGGCAGGCGGTCAGGACGAAGATTGCGGAGAAGATGGTGGCTGCTCTCATGGTTGGTTTTTGGTTTTGCTTTTGATTAGCTGATTGAAGTTGGTTGATTGATGCTGGTTTGGGATGCCCGAGCGGTTTTTATAGTGCTTCGATCTGTGCCAAATTTACGCAGCTGTTTCTATCGAATTTTGGTTTATGCTTTTCAATTGTTTGGCCAGAAATTCGCAAAACTATCGACTTGAGAAGATTAAAGTTGTGCACTGAGAGGAAAACTAAGTACGCGAAAATATATAACGAATTGGACTTAAAAGTAGGTCAACATCTAGCAGTTAGTTAACGAATTTTAATTGAATTGAAATGTATACTTTGATTATTTTTGATATATTCAAATATATTTTATTTAAATAATGGAAATATATTTATTCTTTTCATAAGTGAGTATTGAATATATTTAAGGTACATATTCCATATTCACTTATCTTATTATAATAAATAGCTCGTTTTTTCTTCAAGTGCACAAGACTTTGGTCATAAACTATCAGATCGAAATGCTTTCATTGATAGTCGCCTTGTACCATGTTTATTATTGACTGTGAATCCACAAAAGATGCTCAATGACATCTGCTACTATTATTTGAACTCCTAAGTTGAAGGTTTTAATAATAGATTAGCCAATGCCATTAGGCTTTGGATAATCTGGATCAATATTAAGAGTGGAAAGAACTTTCTGTTGAGTTATATTACAATTTTATGTTTATAGTACATTTTATTTTATTTTTAATTGTATAAGAAAATATATTAAATATATTTTCTGATATATAATACATATTAGCATATTCAAGAGTATTTAATCCTCTGCATCTCCTAGCGTTTGTAAAAATTTAATATGCGTAGTCCGTATTCTTCACTGAAGAAAGTTTGGTTGGCTGATCTCCTGGCCAAAGGACATATGAACATATAAGGGATGATTCCTCTGCCAAAACTCAAAAGATTGTTATTAAGATGGAAATAGGTCCAAATTCAACGTTTTTGCTTCTGATTACAGATGCCAAAACCTAAAATTGAGGGCAAAGTTTCTAATTGTTGTCAACGTCACCAGCTTAATGGGAGGAATATGGAAGTAGAGCGGATTTCTGATGAGCAATTGGGCAAAGTTCTTGGCCTCAGATTATGTAGGGATGTAGGAGTCCATCTTGGAGGTGTTCTTTCTTTAACTGCATCACAATCACTGCACAGCGACAGCAATTCGTCAGATCTTGGCTGTTTTTAGGAACATTAAGCAAACCTTAGAGTCGAGAGTAGATCAAGTGCAGACATAAGATCAAAGCTAATCCTCCGGACTGGGAAATTTTTGTCAATTTTGTTTAAGAAAAGGTATTTATTGGGTATTTATAGGCATTTATAACTACACAATAGACCACTGAGTGAATTCTGTTTTAATATTATAATATATTATTTCAAAAATTCAAAAACAAATTTTTATTTTGGAATGCAATGTTAAAGAGTTTACAGGATTTATTTTCAATAAATGAATAAGCGTATTTCCCGACCAAACGGTTTGTCATCAGGATCGATGGTTCCTAACCGGAACGGTTCTGGCGCCTACGGGCAGCCCTCCTTCTGGCGGCCCTCCTCCGTGCGGCGGCTGCGCGTTTCCTTCTGGCGGCCGCCCTTCTCCTGGCAGCCCGCCTTCTGGCCGCAGCGCTGTTTGCATTGCTGCTGCTTCCACTTGAGCTCGAGGGTGTGGCGGAATCGGATGGGGTAGCCGGAGTGGCGGCAGCGGCGTTGGCTGCCGTGCTGGATCCATCGGCTGAACTTGCTGTCGAGGAGTCTGTGGGTGCAGTGGTAGGCGCTACGGTAGTGGTTGTCTGCTCAGCAATGCAATCCGGTTCCGAAGCGTTGGCGGAATCGGTGCAGTCGATGCATCCTGCGACGCTAGGATCAGGGGTGCAGGACACCGCCTCGCTGCTCCTCAAAAGGCAGGCTGCCACAAGGAGGAGTCCGCTCAAAATGCTTATGACTTTCATGGCTTGATTGATGATGATGCTATCGGCCGTGGGTTTAGGCTTTTATAGTGCTCTCTCCGGGCTGGAAAGATGGTTAGCAAGTTTACCCAACTGCTGGCATCGAAAACAACTATTTGCCTATGACCATTGTTTGTCAAAAATTTGGCTTAGAAAGTCGCTCCCGAAGATGGCTGCAATTGTTCGTCTTTCAGTTCGGAGGTGTTTATCGGTGGTATTGACAGGTGTTACGATATTATTATAAGTATATTAGAAGTAGTACTTCTAGCAGCTATACTAGATCAAGCCATGCACAAATTATGAGCAAATATACGCAGCTGTTTCTCTCGAATTTTGGTTTATTTGTCGCGCTTGTTTACAGAGAATTTACTGTGATCGGTTTGGGGTGGGCCAAGCCACACGTGCAGGGGCTTACTGAACTTTGGACATGTGTTCAAAACTAGTTCAGATTGTGTTTATTTAAAAAAACGTTGACTTTGACAATAGCTTTTGTAGTTATTTAAAACATTTTTAAACCAGCCTAAAAGTACGCTATAAATCTCACTAAGATATAGTTATTTTCTGCATACTTTCTGGCAGGCTGAGGTACATATTTAGTAGCAGATATATTTCAGATCCCAAAACCTTTAAATACTTTCCCAACTTATTTAATCACCCTTAAAAACTCAATATTTTTTGGAATGCAATTTATCAGAGTTCACTGAATTGGGTTTACAAAGGTATTCAAGTCAATAAAACCAGTAAAAACCTTAGGGAATGTCCTGTGTGCCTTAGCCGGATCGCCTTTGGTTTTTCTTGCGCTGCCTTTGAATTCTCCTCCTATTTCGCGCCGCCTCTCTTTTCTTGGCCATGAAAGCCTTTCTCTTCTTTTTTCTTCTGGCTACAGCTTCTGCTTTACTGGTGTCCGACGACAACGAGGATACCGAGTCGCTGGACTGGCTGCTTCCAGATACAGTGGACGAGGTGGTCGTAGAAACAGTGGAGCTAGTGCTCGAGCTGGCGCTCGCCGAGGTGGAAGAGGAGGAGTCTTCGACTGCGGTAGAGGACGTGGCAGTTGAGTCGGTGGTGTCCGGTGACGAGCCATCAGCCCAGGACACCAGGGCAAAGAGTCCGAGCAGTAACCAGCACCAGAAGAACACAGGTCTCATCGTGAGAAGAATGCGATTCAATGCAATAATTTTCAATTTCACTTGCAGCGCTTTTTATAGCTCCAAGAGCTCTGTTTGCACTCAAAACCATCTTTAATTAGCCCCGAATTTATGCAGCCTGCTTTTTGTTAGACACATAATGCACTTTATTTGTTATTTGCAGACAATTTCTTTGGCCAGACTCTACAGCAAATAAATGTGTTACTTTTAATAGAATATAATTGGTTGAGCTCTCATTTGAGTTTAAATTAAAAACATTTTGAGTGCTTTTTACGAGTATTAATAATGGCTAGGCTTCGCGTGAGAGTTTAGACCATTTTTGTGTCTGCTAATGTATACGGTATTTTTATTGTTTTTGTTTTTATAATTATCATGACGTCACATTTTACACCGAAGCGAAGCGAGAACAATGAGCCAGACGAGGGAGTATTTTGATATTCATATTTTCACAGCTTTTATATACACATAGTATATTGAATCCACTGACCAGCCTCGGCTTTGGTTTGGTTCAGTTTGCGCCGATCAGCGATCAGACTGAGCCATGGCTTCACCCAGCTGCCTGCTGATTTTTCTCGGATTTATTTCATTAGCTGAAGTTGCAGTGAGTTTTTAAGAATATTAATCTTTGGATTTAACTAAATTTCATGGTTTCTTGACAGTTTTCAATATGTGTTCCACCGAATCACTGCATTGAAGATGTGAGTATACTTAACCGAAAATTGTCTTTAATTAGATTTTATATGAGTTTTTGATTAAAAGTGAATTAAAAATCTAGTTACAATTCTTCTAATTGTTATTCCAACAATCCTTAATAAAAATCAAACATTCCCTAAATCCCACAGATGGACGACATCGATGCACAGGATCGATTCAACTATGTCGTGTCCAAATATGAGGAGGTGGATATCAAAATTGCTGGAAAGCCGGCTGGGTGAGATAGGATTTCCGGCCAACTGGCGGCATTGCTGATACGCTTGTCATTGGCATTTTTATTTTGCATTCCGTTGACAGTTTGCACGGCAAGGTGGTTACACATGGCTTGAAAGTGGAGCGGCACTTGGTATTCCATTACGTGGACAACACGCTGCATGACGTCATCCAGACCTGTACGTTTGTGGTGTCCAACGCACCCGAACAGTGTGAGGGCATTAGCACCTTTTGTAACAGTTTCGTGAGCCGCCCGCCACGTCCATTGCTAGAGCTTCCATCCCTTATCGTCTGCGAGGATGAAGTCCGGTTAGCGGGGGAAGACTCAGAGTCGAAAACGGAGGACCCAGATGAGGAGGAGGAGGAAGGAGACCCCAATGCTGGATCGCCACCTGAGGCTGATCCCACGAAGGCGGTCGTTGAAGGAAATGGTACCACTGCTAAATTTAGGATGTTTAACTAATTGGGATGTGGAGATGTTATATTGCAGTAAAACTGAAAGGTCATAAAGATTATTACTTATTTCCTTATTCTATGATATTTTTACTGATTTTATTGCTCAGTTGATGTACAAGCAAAGTCATGGTCATTTATCACAATTTTGTACACAGTTTTTATACACTTTCCCATAAATAAAATAATATATTTAAACAGCTATCTGTGGTGTATTTTAATTTCCTTAAAATAAAGCTATACAAAATTGTATGTATATTTTTTATTGAAAAACTTTAAAACATTTTTTTTATAATTTAGAAATAAATAAAAGTTTATTTTTTATATTAAATTATTGAATAAAGTAAAACTATATATATTACGTATATGACTAGTGAACATGCTCACCTTATTTTTCTCACTTACCTCTAAAAATAAAATTAGTAAATTATTTAATAAGTTATTTAATTAAATTACCATTTAAAACTCGATTTGGTTTTGCTTTAATTTAATTAAATGAAAAACTATAAATATTACGTATACGACTAGTGAACATGGTCATATTTTTTTCACTTATGTACCTCTACTATAAAATTCGTTTTTTATTTAATAAGTTAGTTCTTTAAATTACCATTTAATAACATATATTAACAAAATCGTGAATTCATGTGAAAACTCGATTTGTTTTAAATTAAGCCCAAGAGTATGCTTGCTCCAATTAAATTCATACTAACATTTTCCCTTGGCCGTTCAATGTCACGGCTTCCCAGCGATTGAGTTAGGAAGCTCTGGCAGCAACAACTATGCGGCTTTTAGCTCAACAACTGACGGCCAACAGACTAGACCTGGCCAAGTCCGGCGCCTGCGCCGAGCCCACAGTGAACCGTGGTGTATGAGAATATAAGAAAATTAATTTATAAGAGGAATAATAATAATAAAACAAATATTTAAAGTTTAATTAATTAAAAACAATTTTTTTCTCACATTTCCGGAATTATTTATAAATAAAATATAAATAAATAATTTAGTTTCAAGTGAAAAGTTTTACTCAATTATATTAATAATAATTTGTAGTTTATTTATATTAATATTAATTATATTATATTAATTGGCTTAAAAAAATCAAAAATAAACACTGTACTCTGCCGATATGCGTGTGAGAGTTCTCTCCCTAAAACTCAGGCATAAAGAGAGCGGGAGCGAGCATAGCTTGCGCCAAATAACAGTAAACAAAGCCCAGCTGCTGCTGCCGACGTCGCTGCTGGCTTCGCTGCCCACAGCCGCTGCGTCGGTAACTCGCGGCCTGAACCAGAACCAAAAACTCAGTTGTTAACTGGGCGCCAAGGCGAACTGGAGCAGCGAAACCAAAGCGCGGGAGCCGAAAAAAATTCTTCTGCAGCCCCCGAAAACAACGGTGAAGCGTGCTGCCAGCGACAGAGAGACGGAGAGCTCCGATAGAGAGAGAGAGAGAGTGCGGAGAGAGCACTGAAAGAGAGCGGAAAGCGTGGCGTTCTTCAATAGATTTGCCATTTCCCGCACAGCATTATCTCCCTGTGTCCGCTCAGTGCTAAAGTTGTCGTCGTGCTGCGAAGCTCGTGTGGGCAAGGCAAGGCCGCCGTTCATCGAGATACGCCCACCCACCGCCGCCGTCGCCGTTGCCGCGCACTGTTGCCCCCTTGGCCACGCCTCCCGCCCAGCAGCTGTGAGAGAGTAAAGTGCGTGCCGCCGTCGCCGCCGGTTGTAAAAATCTCGCAGGACATCGCAGGCCCCGCAATATATACAAGTTTTGTATATACTTTTTGCATATTACGCCACGAAATCGAACGGAAAAACGAAACAGTTGAGTGGCGCGTAAATATTGCGGCATATTTCAAGTATTTCCAGTGTCGAGCCAAGCAATTTCAATTCAGAATCCAAATCCAAATCCAAAACCAAAACCAACACGAAAACCTCCCCCCCGAAAGAGTCCCAATCTCCCTAGTCCGCACCCCGCGCGTATCAGCGAAGCGCCAGCGCGTGTTATCAGCAAACGAAACGCGACAAAAACACAGAACCCGCAAAAACACAAAAAGTTAAAAAGAAATATAAATAACAGAAAATAAAGAAAAAAAATACAAATACAAATACAAATGAAACGGAATGAAAAGAAAATGCTGTGAATGTGAATGCATTTGTGTTTAGGTGAGTAGTTTTACTATTGTGTCCGTGTTTGTGCACAGTAAAAAATTAATAGGGAGAAAATAAGTGTTTAAAAAGAGCTAGGGGAAAAATGTAGACAAAATAATGTATTTAAGACAAGCAACAATATGTTTGTAAGGTATATTTCTTGTGTTAAACCATTTGAACTGTAGTCTCTTAGTGATCTTCTAAATATATTGATTGATTCAAAAGTATTAGGTATATAGACCCCATTCTTTTATTATAAAATATTTAAACTTCTTGGTGTGCGCTCTGTAATATTTGTAGATCCCAAAAATTGAATGTTAATGTATTTTTTAAATAACAAAATTACTAAACATTGAATTATTTAGAGTGATTTAATACGAATTCAGAATGAAATATTAAATAATATTATATAATATATCAAATTTTCCCTGAGTTTCGAAGTTTAATATTAATTTGAAGGATGATTACTCCAAATACCATTAAGACTCTTCAAAAAGACAATTTTCTTAAACCTAAACCACCTCAAATCATTAGCTATTCCCTCAGTGCAGGGCTTCAAGTGTATATATGTGCCTCCAGCTCAGCTGAGTGCTGAGTAAACAAACCAACCAAAGCCAAACAGAGACCCAAACACAAATACTAACGCACCGCAAACACACACACACACTGGCGCACTCACACAATTATTAGCGTTACCCCCAAAATCCCCCAGAAATGTGCGAATTATAAAATATTTTACCCTTGAATGTCATACGTATTAGTTGCTGGAGGTGGGGAACATGGGACTATAGAGCTCTACTTTTAAGCAACTTTTGAGTACCCGACGGATGCTGAGATCAGCGGGTATACGCGATATCTGAGAATACTTTTTCTAAGGGTAAATGAATTAACGATATTTTACATTAATAATGGGATTATGAGAGATCTTAGAAGGAATATTATATAAGTAAATAAAATATTGAAGATATAAACCTGGAATAAAAGGGAACGGATACTTTTAAGGGATATCATTACTAAATAGTTTTCAAAAAGATAAATTTTTGTAAAACATTTTGAAATATTTTTAAAAATTCCAATCATTTCTTGTCCTTATTTATGGCTTATACCTTAAGATCTAAGGATTTTCTTGAATTTATCAATCAACTCCCTTTAAAAATACTATTTACTAGGTATCCTGAGTTCGTTACTAGATTACAACCCTTGGTACTCGTTTTTTAGCCGGATCGCCCCATGGGGAACCGTAAGCAAGAACTCAGCATGGTCCCGAAAAAACTTTCCTGTGACGTGCGATGCCTAACGCAAATTATTCGAGAGCTGCTTGAGAGCATTTTAGCCGCTTTCCCCGATTTTCTCGATTTTCTTGCTTTTCTCGCGCGCAATTTTCTTCTCGGCCGCCCTTTTGGAGACCCGCCAAAGTGTCTGTGAAATCCATTAAGTTTTGTTTTCGTCTTTCTTTTTTTTTTGCTGTATTTTTTATGAACAACATTGACTTTGTCAACGGTTCGTTCGCCGAGATATCTCCTCCTGGGTCCGCCACGCACTTTTCCCAAACAGCAACTGTCTGAGCAAGTCTTTTATTTTATTTTAATGCCCTCACTTTGGCCACTCCACCGACAGCTCAGCTCCAGCTTCCTTTTTGGGGGAGATTTTTGACAAAAAAAAAAAAGACAAAAATGTTGTCAAATTTATTGACTCACTTTTGTTGCTGCTGTTGCCATTGTATTATCCGGCTTTATCCGTCCGCTGACGTCTCTTTGTTGGCCAAATTCGTCACACCGAACAAACGTGACCGCCGCCAAGACAAGTTATTTCAAATTGAACAGGAGGCTTTAAGGGTCATAAACTCGGCTCTTGACAACTTTCGAGAACTCCAATTAGGTTAATTATCGACCTGGCATAGTGACATGTGGGTGTGTTTTGGGAAGTTCAGTCTTTAGAGCACTTTTTCGATAATGTGGGGCTATTTAGGTTTTATTATTTTGGAGATAATGGTCATGAAGACTCGTATAAACTGAGAACTGATAAAGAAATGTAAGAATGCTTTCTTTTATCTTCATTTTTATATTTATTTTAAATTTTAAATATGCTTTAAAAGCTTTAAATATTACTTACAGCTTGTATATTTTTGTTTTTTGAATAAACTTATACATAATTATCTATATGCCAACTTAATTTAGTATATCAGTGCAAAAAATCCATGTGAAATAGCAAAAGAATTGTACAAAATAATAATAATTAAATTGTTAAAATATGAATAAATTCAAAACATATTTTTTTGCTACAAATTAAATAAGAAAAATATTTGTTTAGCTATTTTTATGATAAAGGTATACGAATATGTTATTAAAACCTATTATCATTACTTATAAAAAATATTAAATAAATAAGGAAATATTAAAAATAAGGAAAAATTAAAAAAAGAACCTCAAGAGTATGCCAAATACAACTAGCAATTCCTCTAGTAACTCCTCTGTATATCGCAAAATAATACGATTACCTCGTTTATCCTTCCGAATCACCCAGTTCAATTTATTTTACATTTGCTTTTCGGCAACCCTCGTTCCGAGATTATTAGGGATGCCGTCGTCGCTAAACTGTATTAGCTAAATGCTCGTGGAGGACCCAAAGTAAATTTGAACGAAGGACCCCACTAAAAGCTTTCAAGTGCCGCCACCACACCTGTCTTTAGTTTTCCGGCTGGCAATCTCGTGGGATTCCCCCTGCGTTGTGTTGTGTTTGCGTTTTTAGGGTACCTTTCTGGAGGATAAGTTTAAGGTCGCGCGGATTTATAGTATAGTATATATGATGAGGTCCCGATTTTTCGGAGGCCGTGCATATAAATAGCCCTCGTTCTCACCGATTATCCTTCGCATGCAATTTTCCTCGGTGTTTGTTTGCTCTTCCCTGTTTCGTTCTGTTTTCTTCCTCTCCGGTTTCTTCTTCTTTGTGGGCCCGGCACGTGCCTGGGCTTCGAGAAAATGCGGGAAAGAGTGGGGCGGCGAGTGGAGAGTTTTCCGTATATTCGGCCATGCGAATAGCCCACACTTTGCTTTTGGCCATGTTTATGGCGTCTGCCGTTGACTGACGTTCATTGGCTTTTGTGCGGATATTTGTTTTTGTTATTGTTCCCCATGTCCTTGGTCCTTCGTGTCCTGCGTGCTCCTTGCTCCTTGCTCCGTCCGCCATCATTGGCCATAAAACGGTGTCTCCGAGCACATTTCGCTGGTCGCGTCGGCATCCGCGGCAGTGGCTATAACCTTGTCCCAATCCTGCATACTCCTTCGGCCACTTCCTTCCAAGCCCGGCAACCTTTGGCCCATTTTCCCAAAGTTTATTTTGTTCCACAAATTCTTTGGCATTCTTTGCATTTCATTCTGCTCTCGGTGGCTGCTCGTCCTCCCTGCCTAACTTCATTTCATCAGCAATTCATTTATTTAAACGCCGTGCTCCTTGGAGAAATTCATTTTTGTTTATTGATTCATTAGGACACAGAGACGAAGGCAGAGGGAAGTCCTAGAAAACGGCAAAGAAGGACACATGCCCGCAGCCAGAACTGACACTAATTCGATTTGTTGCTTTCAAAATTAGGTCCAGTTATAAATCCAAGTCTACTTAATTACATTTGGCCACTCACTTGGGACAATTTATGCCTCGCAAGTCCAATTATGATGCCTCTTCGTAAATTGGGCAGAAGAATTGGCTGCCATAAAAGTGCTTTAATAAATTGGAAATGTATATGCCATAAAATGTATTGCAGACGTTATTAGATTCCTAGTTTTTGTTTTATAGTATTTTTATATAATTATTATTTTACTATTTTTATAAATCTCGATATAATTTGTCGTTAAAAATTGAAACCTACAACTAATTATAATTTTCCCTCAACTTTCTTTACAGATAAAAACCACCCACAACTTGGAAACAACTAAAAAATTGGTAAGTCTCATTACGTATACGCAGTGTAGACCTTTTAAATCGTTTACCAACTAAGCAAGAAAACTCAAAAGAAAGAGAAAAAGTTGGAGACCAAGATCTATTTATACCTGCCACGCCAAATGATAGTTGAAAACTTTAGACACAGCTGCGAATTGTTGCAAAATACTATTCGTTATCGAAGACGGATGCAACGAGCACGTCCCCCGATTCGTTCTTATATTTATAAATTTTATTTTAAAGTTTTTTTTTTTTTGTTAGAAATCAACCTGCACGTTGTCTGAAATCTGGTTCCGCTGCAGCTGTCATCAGACTTTTAGCTGCCGTTTCCAGAAAGAAGCGCCACCGATGATGATGGAAAGAAAAAAAAAAAACAACCTTCATAGAACGAAATTGGGGAGAAAACTTCATCGTTAGCCGTTTTGTGCGGCGCTTATCCGTCTTAGCCACTTTGAATCGCGCTTCTGCCGCCACTCGGCGCTATTTTTTCGCAAAGTTTTTGGCCACGTTTACTTGGCCCGTGCCCCGGTTCCTTAGCGGCTGCGGCTTTTTGCCGGAAATAACACACGAAGTTAGCGGAGATAAAGGGGTGTATGTATGTGTGTGCAGAGCAAAAAAAAAAAGTCTAGAGGAAAAGTTTTTTAAGTCAAGAATTTAATTTATTTTTGACATATCAGAAATTGGAAAAGAAGCCTGGGTGCTTGAGTTGTTTTGGAAAAAAGTGGTTAAGACGGTTGTTAAAAATGAGGTTTTTACTTGTTTATTTTTTCTCTTCTCTTCTTATATAAAATATTTTAGAGATTTTCTGTTACTCAGTTAAATATTTCTTGGCTTAAATTCTTTCAGTGCAGCTTGTCTGTGGCTCCGAGTTCGGGTTTTTGCCCGCTCCCATGGCGAAAATTATTGTCTGAGGTTGTGTCGCTGTCCCTACCAACGCATAAATTTGACTGTCCCACATGTCCCGCCTTTTGCCTTTGGTCCTTCTTTTTCTCCACTTGTATCCTTTTTTTTTCCTCCTTTAGCCTATGTGCTCGCATATCCCGTTACCGTTCTTTGTATTTTTTTGCCTTTGTTTTTCCAGCTATTGTTGGGTCGCTGCCTTTTAGTTTTTGCCAAGCTTTCTTGTTCTATTTTTAGCACAACACTTTTATTTTGGTTGATAATTCTTTTTCTGGTATTTGCGGGGGCCAAACCCGAATTGTTTACAAAATACGAATTTCCAATTAAAAGCTTACGGCTTTGCTTTGCTCTCGACTACCCGATGGTATCGATTATATAATAATAAACTGGCCTGGCCACGTGGCGCCTGAACTTGCCACGTAATTACACTTTCATGTGGAGACAAGTGCGCCACAGTCGGCCCCCGAAGGCAATTACAAATAATTTTAATAACATAGATTACGCATACGCCGCGTGTGACACTCGGCAGTAAGTGAAATATAGGTCATGGCACAGATAAACCACGTGATTAGATTTGGTTGAAGTTTCAATTAATTTGCATTAATTGGGTATATATTTAATTGTATTATAAATCGTAGATTAAGAGTTCAATTTTAACTTGAAATGATGTGGCATAAAATGCATTTCATTGACTAAAATTTAATTCAGCTTGTTTTCTTAATTTTAAACTTGTTTAAAGCTGCCCGAACAAGGCAATTGAACTTGATTTAGTATTCTAAACAAATTTTGCTGTGAATTTCAATTTATGAATGCACTTTATGGGAAACAAATGTCTGCTTAATGGATATATATTATATATACAAAAAAGGTTTTTTTTTTTTTATAAATATGCAAAATAACCAAAGAGCCGCAGAAAATTCTATATATTTTTTGGTCAGCTGAAAATATATTAAATCACACAATTTTGGTTTTGCTAAATGACTTTATGAATGCATTAATTTAGATATACATTTTATTGCTTTCAAAAGAAATTATAATACATGAAAAGTTTTAATTGGCAATAGCTTAAATATCCTTCCATTAAGACCATTTATCATCAATTTAAAAAGTGCTTGAAACTTGCACTTCACCTTAATTAAAAAAATATTATATTCTCAGACCAAAAATTGTGCAAAAGAGCTTATTTAAGCCGCTGGAAAAACAGGTTTTAATTAAACTGAGAGTTAAGTTAATCTGGGAAGTGAAATTGTTCACTTTGATGCCCACACACACACACGCATTCGAGCAGAGACTCAATTACTTAGCCTGACTTTTGAGGGCCTCCTAGACCTGCCAAATGGTTAGCCCCCGTTTTTTTGGGGCACGCCCACACACAGGGCTTGGGTGTAGGACAAGGAGGAGCTCCTTTTGGGCACCCAGTTCGCCAGTGACCGAGCAGCGTCGGCATAATTAAATTATTCCACAACAATTGCCGCTGGAACAAGAGTCGCTCGTTGAGTTAATTTGCGACAAGTCGAGGTGGCGATGCCGACGATTTTACCAAGTTTTTCACTGCCCGTTGGTCTGACTGTTGGTCATTTGCCAGGGCGGGTGGGCGTCGTGGTCTGAACTTTCCGCAGAAAAGGATTAATTAGGATTAAAAGTGTGTCGAGTGGCCGACAAAAGCCCAGAACGGTTAGCCCACTCAACTACAAAGAGACCAGTTCTTGTGGTGGCCTCAAAAAAGCGGAAAACTCTTGAGGCAGTGCTGTCAAGTTATCCTTTTCCTTTTTTGGTGCGAAATTTTCATGGTCTGAGAAATATTTGGCATATGTTTTAAGAAAGAATAGAAATATGACAAAAATTCTTTGAGAGTAATATTAAAACTTTTTAAATTGATAATAAATTCCGTTAAATTTTATTTAAGTCCAAAGCCTTAATGAAATTTATCAATTTAAATTGTTTTTATTATTAAAAATTAATTTCCCAACTTTTATGTCTCAAGTTGGTCCTTTTTCTAGCTTTTTTTCTTAATCAATCCGCCTTGTTTTTCTCAAATTGGTTTGTGGGCATCACTACTCTGGGGAAAGATAAGGAAAAGTATAAAAATAAAAGTGGCTCAAAGATGCTTTCCGACGGATGGCGGTTGGTAATCGTGCGGCATAAATAAGTCAACCAGAGTTGGCCAACAACTTTAACTTGGCTGCCCAATGATGATGATGATGATGATGACTGCTCATTTCGTGCATTCCGCATTTAATTAACATAATTCAATTTAATTCTGTTTGTGTTTCGCTCTTGCATTTAAATGAATTTAACATAAATTACAATTTATAACGCAGGCTCAATTACTTTTTGCTTTTGGCTTGTTGATAATAAATTTAATGCCAATTTCAAAAGTGGCTTAACTCAACTCAACGCAGAACAACCCGTTTTTGATACCCCGAAGCTAACCAAATTCAATTAGACCTAACAGGATTTATTATAGGCAACTGTGTTAAAGTTCTTGACCTGTCTCTCTGTAAAAATTACAAGTGCATGTCAAAGCTAAAATTGAAATTGGAATCAATTGTGTTTTTCGCTGAATTGCACTGGAATTATTCAATAGCAATAAATAAATAAGTTAAGCTGTCAAATCCACACTGCCAGCTGCCCTTTCCCACGACCAAGTATTGATCCTTTTTAGCCGTTAGTATTTTCCACTGACTATCAATGTCCCACAACTGCGACTCTCTACTAACTAATCTAATGAAATCATTTTCATTTCCATTTTGCTGACATTTAAGTTTTTAAAGCCCTACCAAACCCTTTTTGCGCCCTCGACCTTTTATGCCAGAACTGCCTGCGGACACTATAAACTGCCAGTGATATTAGTTAATGCCCTGCTGCGGTCGTCCATGCGGAATTGTTATTATTTAAATGGCCTATTCAATCCGGTCCTTCGTTTTTTTTGAATGCAGGGTACAGTGGGTGTAGGTCACGTTTTTTTTTAGATAAAATTACTGATATACTCTATTTTTAAATAAAATATTATAATATAGTTATAAAGAATATATTTGATATATTATTTTCAAGGGAAACAAGTACTTGATAAAAATATATCCTACTAAAATAATTTTAGCATGTTATTATGTTTGTTTTAATCTTTGAAATTTAATTTAACAAAATAGAAAAATAAAATTTCAATCTCCCATTTTATGTTTTCTTTTTTTCACTTATTTGTCTTGCCCAAAAAGTTTCCCCCAAAACTAAAGAGTATCATATCTATTCAACCGTCTCGTTTTGGCCAAACTGCAGAACGCATTTGTTTGGCCAACAAACTGAGTGGAAAAAACTTTTAACTAAAACGAGAGGCGGACCAAAGTATACGCAAACATGTTAACCAGCACACACACACATACACTATACACACCACACACACCGCATACGCACACGTTTTCAGCTAGAGAGATGATGTTGATGCCGAGCTGCAAAACGGTGGATTGTACGTATGCGTACTAGAAAAGTTGAAAATTGTGAAATGTAAGCAAATTGTATGAGCCAAAAAAGAGATGTGAGCAGATAATAATGCTCTTAGAGATGGTAGGAAGAGGAAGACTTCATGTTCGTGGGAAAATTTCCGGCTTTTTAGCCACGGTTTTGGGGGCGAAAGTACCCGACTTCCAAGCAAATGCACACGAATGTATGAATATTTCATTTGGCAAATGTAACTAAATACATAAGCCAGGCCGCAGGACATGTCTCTCTCATCTTCGTTCCGCCATCAAATTGGCAAAAGGACATGTGTAAAGTGTCGATGTGGGTGAGCCAAAGCGAGTGCTTTGCGTGTGTGTGTGTGTTTTTGCGCGCTGCGGTTTTGCAATTGGAGAAGAGTCCTTGCTACTGTTGCCACTAGAGATGACAAGAAAAAAAACGATATTTATATAGGATATTAAATTCGATTTAAATATTGATATTATAGAGGGATATTGAACATTTTTATCGATATTTAAAATAACTTTTAAAGTGAAATAATCAGTAACCAAAAAGTTCTACTAGTTTTTGATACAGAGATAGCAGAAAATACTGAAATATTCATATGTGACGCGAAATTCGATATAGAACCGATATAAAACATATTTTAG